CAGGTTGATCCTGGCCTCGAGCTAGTAAAGGGGACACTAATTAAAACAAATGGCACAGAAAAAAAGAAAGTACTGGAATATATATTAGGTAAAAACAATGGCTGATTAAAACAATGTCTTTGTTTGAATAAGAGTTACAATTAATTATTTCCACTTACATACAATCTCTGGCACAATTATTCATTCATTCATTTACTTTTCGACTTATTCCCTTTATTAATCAGGGGTCGCCACAGCCGAATGAACAACAAACTTACGGGGAGATCATGCAAACTCCACACAGAAATGCCAACTGACCCAGCCGGGGCTCGAACCAGGGACCTTCTTGCTGTGAGGCAATTGTGCTACCCACTGTGCCAACATGGACCAAAGGTGAACCAAAACTGGCTTTAAATTCAGTTGTAATCATAAAAATGACTGTTCAAGCGTACAGTACCTGTACTTTAGTACAAGTGTTGAAAATGTTACCTTGCAAAAGCTATTTTTGCACATGAGAAGATTTAAAGAGCCCATATTATGGGTTTTTGAAAATTCCCCTCCATGTAGTGTGTAACACAGCTCTAAGTGAAGTGAAGTATCCAGCTAAGGCTTAAATCTGTTAGTGTACAGTGTTTAAAACTGTTGATTCATCTATAAAAGAGTCGACTCATAGTGCTTCAAACGAGTCGCCTTGATACCGATTCATTAGGTGTTTCGCCATGACGTACGAACGAAACCAAGTTATTCACGTGCACGCGCAAACCCGGGAGATTTCAAACCTGAGGCCCCGCCCTCTGACGCAGAAACCCAGACACACACACACACACACACACACACAAACATGCCGGTCGATTGAAGTCACACTGCAGATGGATTTATTACTGATGGACGTCAGGATGGATTTTTCTTCCTCCATTTCTCAAGTGTAAGTACGTGTGATTAAAGTTGCCTCGTTGACTCTAGCTTGCAAATGTATTTAATTGTGATTTGTTACTTGTAACCGCGTGTACTGTATCAGGTTAACTGACTATATTCTCTTATCGCGTGCAGTCACGTTAAAAACGCGACGCGTGCTGCTTTGTTAACGGAGCTCCGTGGACGAGGAGTAGTGTGTGTGTCTGTGTGTGCGTGCTGTTGTCCGGAGGTGTGTGTGTTTGTGTGTGTGTGTGTGTGTGTGTGTGCGCGCGTTGTCGTCCGGAGCAGGGTTAAGTGCGTGTGTGTGTGCAATATGTGTGTGTGTGTGTGTCTGTGAAAAGAGCAGAGTGAGAAGCTAGGAGATCTCCTCAACTGTTTTTGGAGTTTTTGCTCAATAAAATAGTTAGTCGTCTGAATTTTCAAGTCCATAGTCTGTATTTACATTGACCCACTGGCAGCTAAAATCCACGCCTACACTATCGAGCGTGTATGAACTGTGATTACTTTTATATTGCTGATTAGCTGTTTGGCATTTTACTCTCTGACTGAAGGCAGTCGACCAATCGCAGCAGGCTGTCATTGGTCCAATCAGCGCAAATTAGCTTCGCGCTAAGGAGGGGTTTGGGAACAAATGAATCACTGGACGATTCATACAGGAGTCGCTGGGATAATTAGGTAAAAATAAATGCAGATTATAAGACCACGAAAGTGTTTTTTGAACTTGCATGCATATTAAACTGTTGTTGGAGACCCTTACAACCAAGATATGACCCTATTTCATGTATAATATGGGCTCTTTAAATCAAAATGCTGTTAATTATAGTCATCTATTTTTGCTACAAAAATATGTTTGTTAAAATAACCACAGCAGAATCTCCAAGCAACACACATTTACATGTTTTTAAGTGAATTAGATTTTTTTGCAACCTAGACTCATTCTGAAAACGTACTCCGATACACATTTCTGGAGAGCACCAAATATGTCCCAGGAGGTACCTTTTTTTTTTTTTTTTGCAGTTTTAATTTTCAAGAATCCACCAGAGGCTGCTGTGTATGCTTTGTCAGATCTCAAATTTCTCTTGAGAGTGCCATTCGCGCTTGCTGTTCCCACGTAACCCCACCAGAGGCCACTGTCAACTGACCCTAGGGCTAAACGATTCCGGCAAAAAATGTAAATGACAATTGTTTTTGCTTAAAATCAAGATCATGATTTTCTCACGATTCTGTAGATGTAAATGAAACATTAATATGATTAGCCTATTATTATTGTTAATTCTCAAACATATGGTAAAACAACAATAATAATATTAGGCCTATGTGTAGGTCTACTCTTGCTTAAAATGCTAAATTTTGTATAGACATTAAGGTGGACTTGAACAGACTTTAAATATGTCCTGTTTGTTAATTCACAGTAAAATATGACATCAGAATATAACTTTTCATAATTATAAAGTTGATTTATTATGCTTAAGTATTGTGCCTGTCATCTGCCATTGACAACATTATTAGACCATTTGCTTACACTGGTAAAATTAGAATTTTTCCATTATCAGATTCCTTCTTGCATTATATTCAACTATATATATATATATATATATATATATATATATATATATAGGCTAGGGTTGTTATATTGACAGTAAACATTTATTTCCATGCACAACACTGTGTTCGCTACGAAAGAAAAAGCATATCAATTGCTTGTCGTAATCATACCTTTAAAATGCGATATGATCTTTTAAATGATGTGCGCACAGGTTACACTTTTATTTCTGAGCGCAGCTCATGGCTGCTGTCACTGTGAGAAAAAAAACACACACATGCAAATCAAACCTCCCGCACGGCACTCAAACAATCACTCTGTGCAACAAACTGAACGTTATTTACAACTTCATTACCTGTTATCCACAGCCTATGCAGGTTCTGTTCACTAAAGTAAGCGTCATGCGTGCATGCGCGCATTCTCGATAGTAAACAAACAGCTCGCGGTCAGCTCACGTGTGATTTCACGTCCACGAATACATCATTACCTAAAGGCAGAAATTACATTTTTGGTTAAATTATACCTTATAAATACAGTCTGTGACACTTTTAATGTCATTTGAAGGTGTCAATGTTGCTGTGAAGACTTGTGCGACTGCCTTGTTTCTCTCCTGACCTTGAAAATACAATTGGCTGAATCGTAGAAAAGCTTAATTAAGATCGTGTGTAGGGTCGAATCGAGATCATGATCTTTTTTCTATCAATCGTGCAGCCCTAACTGACCCACCCTCCTCCTTCCCTAAACCCAACCAATAGTGTTTTGAAAGCAATTCAGAAAAAGAAAAGCCTTCGCCTGAGTTTTACCATGTTTTCAGATTTTACCACATTCTCACCCTGTCATTTACTTGTTTATTTTTTTTATTTTTTTGGCTTTTGTTTTTGTCTCAACCTCTTTCTGGAACCTCTCTTCCCCGGACTCAAATTTCATTGCGTGGTCAACTCCTTTCTGCGTCTCAAGTCCGCTGACGTTTATGCCAAGGTACTGGACAAACTGATAACAGTGGGAAAGCTGCCCATAAAGAGGCAATAAGTCAGCTGGTAAGCATGAAAAGGAAAGGCACCATAGTGTTCATTTTAAAGACAAAATGCAGCCATATGTACTTCTGGCTACATTATTTGCGATCTCCAGAAATGTATACTGGGCTACGTTTTCAGAATGAGCCAATTTGTCTTTTTGACAACAGTTGAATAATTCACTCACAAACAAAATCACTTGACTGATTCAATGTCTGACTCAGAATATTACAAAAGCAAATTAATGAATAAAAAATTATAACATTTTTAAAAACATTTAAAAGGCTATTTTTGCAGGCTTTATTTTAGGCATTACAAACTGCATAAATTGAGGTCATTTGTATTTATTTTTAAAGAGTTGTCTCATTTTGTCACTGCTATTTTGGTATTCTTGGGCAATATTGTATTTAAAATTCTGATTTTCTTTTTCAGCCAACAACTGCATACTTCATAGTGGTGATAAGTTTACATTCAGTCTCTAATATTTTTTGCCAAAACACCTCATCTGACCTCGGAACACAAGTCATCTCCAATTAAAGCTCTTGTAATGTTCAGTGAACTTCATCTGCTTATGTTTGTGATTTTAAAAATAGAACAGCTTTTCGTCAGACAAGAAGAGATCTAATAATTAGCATGAAAGCAGACTTTTGGAGATGTTTGGCCTGTTTGGAAAAATATGCATTGGTTGTTTGTCTGACAGAAGGATTGTAAATGAGGCACTTAACTTTATTTTTTATTTTTAAAAAGGTCTACATTATGAGTGCTATATGCTTTTTTTAAAGACTAATAGTGCAATGAAAATGGATATACAGTACTAACAGTTATAAACCATCTTGCCTTAATTGTATAGATCTTAATGTTTTTTTTACTAATATGACATGGCTAAATTTGATTTTTCTCTTATGTACTAAAATAATGTAATCAACAACAAGTGCATATTGCATGTTTCTACTGGAGTGGCAATAATTGCAAAGGTTTTGCAACTTGCTGCCATGGCAATGAGGCTCTATTTGAGGTCCAATATGAGTGAAAACCTAATAAGAATGGAGACCTTGCACTAGCACATGTAGTCTAAGAAACGCTGTGGGTTTCAAATCAATTTCAGCACCAATCCCCATGAATCTCACCTTGTGAAGATCACAGCCAGGCAGTGAAAAGCTATTCATCTGGGTAATTCCAAGGTTACATATGAAAAAAGCACTGTAGCTCAATGCACACTGTGGTGCTTGGCACGAATTTCCATATTTCATAAACAGATGTGTTGTTTACAGGTGGCAGAGGTGTGTAGACTTGGCTATTTGACCTTGCAAAGTCATGGTAATGGCAAAGGCAACAGCTGTTTGCCCATTAGCAAATTTACAAGAGACACTGGTAACTTATATTTCTTATTATTCAAAATAATTTTCTCATATCAAAGGTATTTCAGGTGATAATTTGTGGTTTAGGGCATAATGACATAACATAATGTGGGGAAAATGGCATTTTTGTTGGCAGTGTTGCATCATTTCATTTCTTTCATGCCCAGAGCAGGTTGTGTGGTTCTCTCTCACCTTGTTCTTTGATTTGTTTATGTTATTCCCATTGGGGACGACTGAAGTTGAGTCTTCATGGAGGCGGTCCAAAAGCCAGAGCAGGAATTCCAGAGCGTCATGCTGGGAATTCCCTCGAAACTGAGCACCATATTTAGATACCGTCATCTGGACAAGACAAAAGATAAATGTCACACAAACAGTACTGTCTGATTCTGTAAACAAATCTTTTTTATTTGGTCACCACACTCTATGTAGATGATTACAGAGTTGCCAATTAAATCTCTAGAAAAATGAATCCTGGAGTCTTTGAATAATAGCCACAGTGGATCTGACTCAGAGCAGACGGTTTGTTAGATACTGAGATGCCATGGAGAGCAGACGGAGGATGTAAATTGCATTCTGCTAAACAGTGAATGATGTTATGTTGATCATGACAATGAACATCTAAGGAATCCTTTTTACATATTTAATCAGAAAATTATTAAATGCATTGAAAAAAAAACAATAGAAGTGATTTGTTTTGACTTACAAGATTAGAATTAGTAATAGTATTTACAGTACAAATTTAATCTCATTTTATGTGTATATACAACACTTAGTGTCAAGCCAAATCTTTTTTTTTGTAAAATAAAAAAAATTCACCATTTTCCATATTTCAAATTGATCTATGAGAGATAAATTTGCTACTATTTGTATTATGACCACAAAAACTCATTGCGTACATGTTCAATTATGGCAAAAGTCATAAAGTCTTATGTCATTCAGATGAGCACTCAATCTAACAACTAAAACAATTTGTACCTTAATGACCTAAAACACAGATGTCAAACTCCTGGAGGGCTGCAACTCTGCAGTTTACTTCCAACCCTTATTAAACAAACCTGATGGACACACCAGAAACACAAACTACTACAAGTTTCGCAGTTCACTGCATTGAAAAGTTCAAGCTTGGTGAACTCTGACCAGCAAAAGTGCATCACGTGATTGCCTAAGACCAATCGAAGATTAAAACATGACCTCTCTGTGCAGAAATGCAAAATATGGACCAACTGCTCGCTGTTTTTAATGTTTAATCATCTTGTTTAATCCCGCCCTTTTTGGCAGCCCTGTACGACAGAATTTTGCATGCTCAAACTCTAGTTGGACCGCGGCTTAAGTATGTTGGAGTAAGGTTGGAACTAAACTGTGCAAGGGTGTGGCTCGCCAGAAAGTTAATTAAACCAAGGGGGTTGTCAGAGTTTGACACCCCTGACGTAAAGAGAGGTGTGTTACGTTTTGAAGACAGTAAGATTTGTTTTTTAGTTCAACAAGACTGCATTAAATTAATCAAAAGTTTTGTAAATACATTTATAATGTTCTTTTAAACTATCTACAGTAATAGTCAAAGAATTCTGAAAATGTACCATGCTTCCTCAACAATATTAAGCAACACAAATTAAATATTTACATGACATCTATTTACAAACAGAAACTTTGAACTGTAATATTATTTCAGTGTTTTCTCCGTATTTTTATCAAATGAATCCAGTCTTGTTGAGTATAAAGTCTTACCGACTTCAAACGTTTATATAGAAGTTATATTGTATAAATAAATTGTGTATATCATATTACATCTCATAAACCATCACTCTAACATGACTTTCAGGCAGCAGAAGTCTCAATATAGTCCACATCGTTTTCGTAATCCAGTTTTAAGTAATCTAGAATGTCAGGTGTATTTAAAATCATAGTTTTAATGCTGAGTGACATAAAGATTAATTACAGCAGAATTAACCATACGAACTCAATCTTGCAGCTGGGAGCAAATTGCAGATAATAATATGAAGCCGTAGGCCTACAGACTGAGATAACGTAATAATCTTAATATTAGTCATACTGCGTAAAAATGGGTCATGTGGTCACAGAGTTTAAGCCATCTTCAAAAGAATGAAAGCTAGTTTTCTTAATAGTATCCCTGACTAAACGCCTCGTCCTCAGAGGAGAGGAACAACAATTTAGGGCACAATTAAGAGCATGTGACAAAGAAATTGCTATATATGCCTCATAAACAGGTCAGAGGTCACTAGACTTATGTGGTGAAGACGAAAATGTAGCCTAATGTTTCATTTCTTATAGTACAAGTTTTTATACATACCCTAGTGACTATGAATTTTCTTTGGCTTGTATGAAAGCTTTGAGAAATGTAGGCCTCCAGTTATCAGTCGCATTAAACTGAGAATTCCTGTCAGTTTTATGTAAAAAAAAAAAAGAATAGCTTTCTTTTCATCGCTGAGTGCTCAGCCGGAAGAGGTTTGCACTATGACAGCAGTTTTGTGCAGAAATGGATAAACTAGTATTAGTATAAAGCTGGTCCTTAAACTTGAATGTCACCATTCATTTTATTGCTTTTTTCTTCTTTGTTTCTTCTACAGTGGTAGATGTTCACAGCCTTTTTTTATCCCATGATTCAATTACATACACTGTATAGAAAGACATTTCTGTGATTTAATACATTTCAAGTTGAGAGGTAAAAAAAAAAGACTGATAAAAACTAATTCAACTTTTTATTTAACAAAAAAAAAATCATAAAAATGTATTTAAAATTGTATTAAATTTAAACTATCAAAACCTAGGGCCATACCATACACTTGGCGCAATAAGGCGCAAGATGTGTTTGGAGCGATTTGTTGTTATTTTCAGACCAATGCAACCCTAATTTTCCTGCTTTGCGCCACATTGTTCATTCATTTATTTATTTTTTTCAGCTTAGTCCCTTTATTAATCTGGGGTCACCATAGATTAATATGATGCCCTTCCAGCTGCAACCCATCACTGGGAAACATCCATACACACTCATTCACACACATACACTACGGACAATTTAGCTTATTCAATTCCCCTATAGCACATGTCTTTGGACTTGTGAAGGAAACCAGAGCACCCGGAGGAAACCCACGCCAACACAGGGAGAACATGCAAACTCCACACAGAAACAGCAACTGACCCAGCCAAGGCTCAAACCAAAGACCTTCTTGCTGTGAGGCGCCAACAATGCGCCTTAACAAAGTGCTACCCACTATTCAGCCCTGTGTCACATTTAACACACATAACACACAATAGACTGTGCAATTGACCGAGGGGCTTTTTTCAGTTCATTCATGACCATTTGCATTTGTATAGTGCTATTATTATTATTATTATTATTATTATTAATTATATGCATATTTATATTTGTTTTAATAAAAACAAGTTTAGATTTGTCCACCTGTCGTCTTTTGGAGACATATACATCACCATATGGGGCATAAAAATAGGACATGTGTTTGGATTTAACTCCAAAACTTTGTAATTGTTGTTCATTTATTCATTTGCTGGAAATTGGAACTTAATTTAGAAATAGTTTTGAAACAAATCTTTGCGCTGAACAAACTAAATTAAACATGTAGGCTTACAGATTTCCATTAGGGCTGGGCGAAAATGCTATCTTGATAATTATTTTACATATCACGCATTAACATAAGTTATTAATGCTTCTAGATTTAAAAGAATACCCCAACAATGACTGAAGCCACAAAAATTAAACAGCATAACATATTTTCGGCCGATACATTTTCGGTGGCTAAAAATTCGGTACATCTTTAGTATCAACACACTTTTAGATTCCCATTGTTGAACATTTCTGCTGTGATTGGCTCTTAGATCAATATAGAGTAAAAAAGTCTAGAGCTTATCATTGATATTGACATAAATTTTATCACATTTCGATATTATATTGTTTATTGTCCCAGCCCTAATTTCTGCATACCCCTCCAGACAAAACTTTTTTCTGTGAGAAAGGCTGTGAATTTAAATGCAATTATCTGCTTGTTTCATCACTTTTTATAACATTTTTAGTGAAAGCCAGCAGACTTGCACTGAAATTTTGATGGCAACCTTTTTATTCTCAATACTTACACAGCAATGACTTAATGTTGACTCAAATCAACCATTAACTCGGCTATGCTGCCTTGCGAGAAGGATTAGCTAGACATCAGTCAGGAACTGTACACAAAATGACCTTGTGAACTGAGAAATACCAGCCTGTCATCCATCAACCACATGCCATCTCGACCAACAGCCCATTTTACCCTTTAACAAATCATTGGTTTGAGTTCCAGCTCACAAGTAGCTTTTTCACAAGATATTGCTCTTCTGTGGCATTAAAAACTGCATAATTGAACCAGTCACCACTTGTAATACTTTCACAGTGTAGTTCAGGTTCTCTGTAGTCTAATTAGAAATAGATTGCACTTTACGGAAAGCAATATTAAGCAAATGAAGTTAAGCGCAGTGGGAGGCTTAAATTATAGGGCAGAGCTCTTGATTGTTTATAGATGGCTCCCCGTATCAGCAGTTAGGCACTCATTAACTCTTGTAGATGTCTCAGAAGCTGAGAGAGTTTATGTTGTTTCTAGACAAGATAGTCTGGCTCTATCAACACAGGAAAAAGCAAATCATGTCTCAGGGGGCCTCATGTAAATTTACAACATGCAAGTCATTAGACTCTGAATCACATGAGCTTGTTAATGTGGTCTTGTTATGTAGTTAAATTAAATAGACAGTTACAGGAAAACTTGACGTTAATTTACCCACTCTCAGACAATGTGTAGGTAACTTTTGTAATCAGTAGAACATTGAAGATTTTTATTGATTCATGAAATACAAGACAACGGCTAGCAGCACTTTAAGAATTAAAAAACAGACAATGGCAAAACAAAATTAACAGAAAACAAAAAGCCTGCAGACATTCAGTTTATCTCGTCCACTGTTTTTGTTTTGGTTCTACAGACTAGTGGTTTCCCCTGGGGGGTCAAGGGACAATGACGGGGGTCGCTTGGGGATTTTAAAAATGTCAAATAAATTGTATTAAACTATTTTGACTATCATATTTTAACAATAACACACAGAAGAAGAAAAAATTTAATACTAAAAAAAACAACATGTCATGCAACAGAAAAAACATCAGCTTTTAAATTGTTTTTATAGGATCGGTGTGCTTACATTAGATTAACAGCACAGCAATAGTGTCAACTGCAGCAAATTGATTTTATAGATCATTTCAATGTGGTCATGTCATTGGCCCTTAAACATTTGCTGCTTGTAAATAAACTATTTCATAACTGCAATAAGAGGCAATTGAATCATAACGTTATTTTAAAACAGCTATCATAATAATGTTTGTCAAGATGTGGCTCTATTTGGATTCTCTGAATCTATAGAAATTAAAATGTAAAACGGAAAATCTGATGGCACCATTGTTTTGGTTTACATTCCTCGAAATGGTCTTTTGCACCAGGTTAAACTTTATGGCACCTTTATGCAAGCAAATGCATTAAAAACAAATACAGGCCACAACTGAACATTAAGGATGATCTCTGATTAGCTGTCTCCAAAATTAAACCAAGAACAGACTGAAAACATTGTGTCCACGAGCCTCTTTTTGAGGTTAATATTAAATTAAACAACTGAATAAATGACTATAAAAGTGATATGGTTGTTTGACTGTTGCACTTTTGTGTTGTTAATATGCTTGTGTTTATATAGGCCTATTGTTGTATAAGCAACATTTGCATACACCTGTTTGTGTCACCACCTAAGATGAATTTGGCATTGTTGTTTTAGGGGTCACGGGCTGAAAAATTTAGGGAACCCCTGCTATAGACTCACATATACATGTAATGTGTATGCGCACAATTTCAAAGTTTGGAAACAAAGTGCAGTTTTGTAGATTGCAGAAAGTAAAGTGCTACAAAATGTTTCAATTCAATTTAAATGACACCTTTTAACCCAGTGGACCGGTTGGTATGTGTATAGCAAAATATTGGGTTACAGCAACGCAGCACTTTTTAGAGTGCACGGAGGGCAATTGAATACAACCAGGACGTACCAGGAAGATGCTTTGCTAATAAAGCAAACATGCCGTCACACTAGCTTTGATAACCTTACCATTTGGTCTAGGGATGTTCAAAATAATCGATTAACCGTTAACCGAAAGGGTGCGTTTGTAACCGATTAATGTTATCAGTTAAACGATTAAAAAATATTATTTTATATATTTTTAGTTTGGCTGCATAAGGGGCCGATCGAATGTCTTTTTGCTTTAAGAGGAGCATCTTTTGAATAGTTTGCTAAAAACCGCAAGTGTTTTGCACGCGGCTTAACCCAGAGCCGCAGTTTGTGTTGTCAAGACAACTACAGAGAACTTTTAATGAGCATGGTTCCCGCTACACTCATTCTTCCATGGTGAGGACCAAAATGCATCCCACCACGGCTACATTACCCATTCAAAACATTTAGTTGTTGTTGTTGTTGTTTTTAATAGCGGATTATAATCGCACCAAAACGTATTAAAAGGTAAGTGAATTATAACAGCACAAACTTTTCTGTAATCGTAATAGTGCTGTGGGCTAGGCGGTTGTCGGTTAGCCAAATTAACCGAAATGAGCATCCCTAATTTGGTCTCTCTGTATCATCCTAGCCAGCCTTTATTATCTAGCCACTAACATGGTTTTAAATCATGACAAGAAACTTTGGTAACACTTTACAATAAGGTTGTACTAGTTAATGTTAGTTAATGCTTTAACTAACATGAACAATCAATGAACATTTCACTTATGAAAGTACTTGTTCCTGTTAGATAAACAATACATGCAGTCATTGTTAGTTCATGTTAACTCCCGATGCAGATTGTGCCATCGTGCCAGATTGGGTGCAGATTGTGCAGATTGAGCCACTGATGATCCTTGATGTGGATTTATCTATATATAAAACATATTTATATACGTTGCAGTCATTGTCACCTATATAGTGAGCAAAGCCTTACTTTGACCTTGAACGTTCTTGTAATTCTTCATTCACTTAACATTCTGCCCTGACTGGACTCCTTCAAAGCAATCATTTCAGACTTTGGATAGTAGGGTGTGAATAGAGCTGGGCCTCTGTTTCCCATCAGAGCAGGTCTACCTTATGGCCACACACCAGCCACTTCTCTGTGAATATTTTCTCAATTTCTCCCACCTATACTCTTTAGCTACTCCTACTTCAAGATAAATGGCTTAACTCGCTATAAAGTAAAAAAAAAAAAGAAAGAAAAGAAAACATAACGCATAATATTTCATTTTAAAAGTATCACTGCTAGATGCATTCTATTGTACATCTACTCGAAATAAATCTTAAAGCAAAAGTTTACCCAAATATTATATTGTCATCATTTACTTATATATTAATCATGTGAACTATTCCTTTAAAGGGGGTTTGAAGATAATATCCAAGTGAGTCCAGGTCAAATCAGGGCATCAAAAGTGAAGCAAGAAGTTTCAACAATGCTGAGTGATTTTGTTGCCAATTTTCACTATTGGCTAGTTATAAAAACTGTTTAAGCTAGTCTTAAAAATAGTAACCTAATTCATTTCTTTAAGCTGGTCATACCTTTTTAAAGTCAGGTAGGTAGATGTCTGTTAAATGACAAAAGCAGGACTACATGTATAATACGCAACTGCTAAGAAGAAATAAATCTTCAGCCTTCTGTCTGCTCTGTCTCAAAGACTAGTGGCAAGCCGCTTTTGTCATCATTTCTGTAGTAAATGTATTATACTAGTAGTGCATTTCTGAAAAAGCAAAGTGTTACATAAGAATTGTGTTCCAGATTTGTGGTCAGTATCCAGTGTGTCGATGTCTTATCTGAGAAAGCACTCTAGTTTTTCAGTTTACTCTCCGTTGATAATGTTATCTGTGGAAAGTTTCTCATCCTGCATCTATTTTTTGCTCAGAAGAGATCATCCTGTGGGAAAGCGTTTGCGCACATACTCAATAAAATGGCCACGTCAGAGAAAGCTTTGTGAGTTGATATTAAAGTTATGTAAAGGTAGTTGACGCATAACATGTGCATTTTTTTTATCAACATCAATATTTATGCTTAAGATTTCTTTTTTTGGAGTGAGGCCCTTGAAGAACTAGTTTTGGTTCCCAAAAGCAACGTACAGTGAGCAGATCTTAAAGGAAACAAACATCTTAGTGTGAAAAAAATAAACAGCCTTATTTGCTTATTTTAAAGGGCAAGTTTAGATGTGGTAAAAAGTCATTGTTCCATTGATAAAGAACCTTAACCTTTAGGAGAATTTTGCATTAAAGGGATACATTCATTTACATATTAGTTTTCTTTTCGGCTTAGTAGTCCCTTTATTGTTTTGGGGTCGCCACAATGGAATGAATCGCCAACTTATCCAGCATATGTTTTATGCAGAGGATGCCCTTCCAGACACACTCCTTGACACACAAACCCAATTTACTTATACCACTTGTCTATGGACTTGTTTGGGAAACCAGAGCATGCAAACTACACACAGAAACGCCAACTGACCCAGCCGAGGCTCGAACCAGTGACCTTCTTGCAGTGAGGCGAACGTGCTACCCACTGCGTCACCGTGCAGCCCCTCTTTAAAGGAATAGTTCAAAAATGAAATTCTGTCATCATTTATTTACTCACACTTCACTTGTTCACGGAAGTGCAAGTCAATAGTTACGTGTTTCTAGCTTTCTTCACAATATCTTCTTTAGTGCTCAACATATTAAAGAAAGTCATAAAGGTTTGAAACCGCTTAAGGATGAGTATATAGTGAGTAAATATTCATTTTTGGGTGAACTGTCACTTTAAGACCTTAAAAAGTTATTGTAACATTGGACTGTAGTGTAAAGCCACCTCTAATATATCTCATTTCAGCCAAAATGTTCCTGCAAGAACTTTGAGAACACTCATTACTTCCTCCAGTAACCTACACTGTAAAAAAATGCTGGGTTCCACATAATTCATTCATGTTGACCCAACAGAAATCGATTAACTTAACACTTTCAATCAATTTATGTGGATTGAACATAAAAAAATTAAGTTATCCCAATGAAATCTAAAAAATTGTGTTGTTTCAGCTCATTGCAATTAAGTAATTTGAACAAGTAAAAATATATAGCCGATATTTTTTGAGTGTAATAGTTATTGCAAAGGGCATGGAAGCTGGAAAGTTTCTTAAGACATTTGAGCAATATTAACTTCTGGTTCTTGGCCATATAATAGGTGAATAAAGCATCAGACAGGCCCAAGAGACAAAGTAAGAAACTCATGAATAAGTTTACCTTAAACTCAGCAGAGAGTTGAGGAGTGTACTGAAATGTCCAAAGTGCTCGGACCAAAACCGCGAGCCGCTCCGTCACCTCTCCTTTCTCGTTCTGCCCGTTCCCGTTCCTTATAAATCCGTTTATTCCGTTGTGACAAACATCCCGTTTATATCGCTCCAAACCAAGATATTCAGCGAGCAGGTCTGTGTTGCTTAAGCACTGCACGACGGCATTCATGAAGCAGGTGTTCCCGTGGTTCTTCAGACCCAGCACACCCGGGGTTTTATCACCGTACAGCGAAAACATTCGCTCTTTCGCGGAGGAACGGCTGGTAAGAGACGAACTTTTCCTCACCTGACTGCTGCTGGTGCTGCTGTCCTCCTTTTTCACCGAGTTTCCCGCGCAAGGTGCGCTTTCTCCAAACCCTCCGTCATCATCCTCAGCATCCGACCGTTCGGCTGTTTCTCCGCCGCTTGCTAAGCTTCCCAAACTTTTCAAGATCCTACTCACCAAACTTTCCACGGATTTAAACGATTTCCTCCGGAACAGCTTCCCTGTGCGTTTAGTCGACTTGCTTCCTGAGTCTTTATTCGCCTTTTTGTCGCGTTTATCCATATTTCTTGTTTATTTTCCACCGGATAACGGCGTTCAAGCACACAGAGCGTTGCTCTCCTCACCTGATCCTGCCTCGACACTCAGCATTGTGGACGGCAGCGCAGAGTCTTCCTCGCGCCCGCCGTGAAGGAATGATTGACAGGTAGCGCGGCGGTGAGTACGGCGTCTCCTGTGACGTCAGGCGGTTTGGACAGAATGAATGATTGACAGCGCGTTTTTACCGGCGGTCAGTGGTAGCATGAGCTCCTCCAACTTCATACTGGCGGGAATCTGCGAGCGATGCAATGATTGACAGTTGTGGCTGCGAATAATCACACCCAGGGGGTCGAAAAGAGTTTAAAGTTTTCTTAGGATTTGTAAGGTTCTTTTACTGTTATAAAATGTCAATGGCAAGTCAACATTGACGATCCGAGGGGGTCAACTTTTTTTGGCAATGTTAGTTTGTATAATAGCCTACATATGTTTCAGTGATGCAGTGTTTCAGGGAAACACACAATGTATGTGTTTATTTAAAATACATCTAATTTATTAATAAAATGCATTTAAGTTTTCAGTGTTTTCAGGGATAGTGTATTCTGACTTACAGTTTCCGATTAGCTACTTCGGAGGTTACTGTATGTCAGCATCCAGTTTGACTTTACTTTTAGGCTGTATGTATGAACAATTTTACGGGAAAAGTCTTGTGAACAGTTACTTTATTGATTGGAATTACGCATTCACCGTGTTATGAACTATAGAGGTGGACAAATGCATGTTTATATTATTATTTAGATTACTTATATTAATTTTATTATTAACATTATTATTTAAAATACACAGCAAAGCAAATAATTTCTCAGTAAAAAGCTGACCCGCCATACATGATGTTTTAATGTCCTTTAATTCATTTGCGTTATAACGTGAAGGCAGCTGTATGTTTAAGTCAACACATATTGTTGTAATTGCCTATTTTTAGTTATTGCAACTTTTGAATATTGTTTAAACAATTTTAAGAAAACATTGCCTAAAATTTGGGGAAATATTGACATATAAATTGTAAATTTGTCTGGTGTGTCTGTCTGTTTTCTGACTATACATCATGGGTCTCAAACTCAATTCCTGGAGGGCCGCAACATTGCACAGTTTTGCTCAAACCCTAATCAAACACAGCTGATCCAACTAATCAAGCAGGTGTGATTTGGAGGTGGCTGGAGCTAAAATCTGCAGAGCTGTGGCCCTCCAGGAATTGAGTGTGAGACCACTAATCTATACGTTTAGAATTTTTTAAATGATTAACAATATGGAGCCCCCTGCTGTTTAAATGTCACATGTGTCCGCTTAAATAGGCCATGGTTATGATGGATGTTCATCGGGTATTTTTTTTAGTAACCAACATTGGCCTGATAGGATGAATAGACTGCAAAAACAAAATACTCCCAGAATAAAAAAACAGGTCGCTACCTTCGGTTAAACCACTATCTGCTTCCCTCACACTGAACGGTGGATGTTATCATCACCTCTGATTATTTAATTTCGCTCCATCACTTCCACGGTGTATGAACTGCATCCTGTTGCCATATGTCTATTACTGGCCTCTGAATAACCCCACACCTTCACAGGTTTATCACCGCCTCATGTGGACAGAGAACAGACGCTCAGTAAAACGGGACTCACATCAATGCCGTTTTCCGCTTATCTCTCCACTGCCACAGTGACGGAATTCTGTCACAAAACCAGACCACCTACAGTTTTCCATTTCTACAGCATTCAAGCCGAGGTGGGTTTAAACTCATTCTGTCCTCTTTACATTTGTACGATCAGAGGAGATGAATGTCTAGAGAAATGGCCAAAAATGATCTTATTTTTAGATTTCCGGTCCTTTACCCTTTTCTCTACTGAGATCTTATGTGCAAATGAGTTCAAAGTAATGAACACGCAAAGCTTAAAGACTTCTTGTGTGTATAAATGTCTGTAGGTTGGCAGATATCTCTTTCACTGTGGCATCCTTTTTGAAAAAGAGCACATTGAAAGTTATTTTTATCTTCAGAGGTGCATTTGCTTCCTTTCTTTTTTTAGGCATTCAACTTGATCAAAGACAGAGAACAATGCTGAAAAGAATCATGACATAACTGCTAGCTGGACTGAGTAACCGTTTGCATGTGGACTGAACTGGAAAATGAGAAGATATGTTATTGTAAGTCTGGTTTTAATTTATCTACAAGAGGTAATTCAAAGTAGTCTGGTTTAGCCAAGCCACACCGTTGTGGTTCTCGATTTCTTATGAAACATCTTGAGTTTGAACCCAATATTAACCTCAACCGATTTGCCAGAATGAACAGAGAGACCTTCGGGATAAACAACAAACATGAGGATGGGGTGTGTTGTATCTAAAAACAATCATTATCTCTAAAGCAGCCAGTATAACCTAAATTTAACACAGCACTATTGTGCACTACTACAGTAAGTCTTGAGGGCCAAATAAAGACCAATAGATCGGTGTCTGTGCTTATGTACATTTTATCACCAAGTAACACGTCTAGAAACATTCATTCATTTTCTTTTCAGCTTAGTCCCTTTATTAATCTGGGGTCACCACAGTGGAATGAACCGCCAACTTATCCAGCATATGTTTTTTTTACGCAGTGGATGCCCTTCCAGCAGCAACTCATTACTGGGAAACCTATACACTCTCATTCACACACATACACTAAGGACAACTTTAGCTTACCCAATTCACCTGTACCGCATGTCTTTGGACTTGTGGTGGAAACCAGAGCACCCGGAGGAAACCCACGCTAACGTGGCGAGAACATGCAAACTCCACACAGAAATGCCATTTGACCCAGCCAGGACTTGAACTGCGACCTTCTTGCTGTGAGGCGACAGGACTACCTATTGGGCCACTATGTCGCCATATCTGGAAACATCTCTTAATATTTTTTTCTAGAGCTGTGTTATCACTAAAATATAAATTCCCTAATTTAAAAAAGCTGAAATGTTTTGTAAAATCAATTAAATAAAGCATATACTGTATGATTTGAAAGAATTCTCTTTAACTTATATTTAATTGGCAAAAATACAATAAAATATATCCAGCCGCAACCCATCTCTGGGAAACACCCACACACACTCATTCATACACTCATGCACTGCGGACAATTTAGCCTACCTAATTCACCTGTACCGCATGTCTTTGGACTGTGGGGGAAACCAGAGCACCCGGAGGAAACCCACGGGAACGCAGGGAGGACATGCAAACTCCACACAGAAACGCCAACCGAGCCGAGGCTCAAACCAGCGACCCAGTGTCCTTCTTTCTGAGGCAACAGCACTACCTACTGCGCCACTGCGTCGCCATCAACTAACTGGATGACCAACAATTTTCTTCTCTTAAACTCAGACAAAACAGAATTATTACTTATTGGGCCTAAATCTTGCACACAGCAGATCTCGCAACTCAATTTACAATTAGAGGGATACAAAGTTAGCTTTAGCTCTACTATAAAAGATTTGGGTGTCATATTAGACAGCAATCTAACTTTTAAAAACCATATATCCCATGTCACAAAAACTGCCTTCTTTCATCTGAGAAATATCGCTAAATTACGAAATATGCTATCCATCTCAGATGCAGAAAAGCTAGTCCATGCTTTTATGACTTCGAGACTGGATTACTGTAATGCTCTATTTGCTGGCTGCCCAGCATCCTCTATTAACAAACTTCAATTAGTACAAAATGCAGCAGCCAGAGTTCTGACCAGGTCTAGAAAATATGATCATATAACCCCAATTTTATCCTCCTTACACTGGCTGCCTGTTAAGTTTCGTATTGAATTTAAAATATTACTTCTCACCTATAAAGCTCTAAATAATCTAGCTCCTGTTTATCTAACCAACCTTCTGTCTCGCTACGAACCAACTCGTTCCTTAAGATCTCAAAATTCAGGGCTTCTAGTAGTACCTAGAATAGCAAAATCAAGTAAAGGAGGTCGAGCCTTCTCTTTCATGGCTCCTACACTCTGGAATAGCCTTCCTGGTAATGTCCGAGGCTCAGACACACTCTCCCAGTTCAAAACTAGATTAAAGACCTATCTGTTTAGTAAAGCATACACTCAATGCATCACCTAGCGGGTTCCACACAGGCTTCTGCATCTTGCTTATATACACTATGAACAGCAGCTACGCTAATTATTCTCTTTATTCTCTATTTTCACCTGGGGATACTCATCCCGAGGTCCTCAGATTAGGCGGAGTCACTGATTGGATCCAAGACCAGCGACGTGATGATCCCAAGGATTCCATATCCGGGACCAGGCCATATCCTGAGCTGCTGATGGTCGTGGGGAGTGGAGAACATGTGTCTGATTCCAGCGACGCTCCAGGGACAGACGAGTCTTCATTGAGGCCATCTTCCAGCATAAACCACGGCGAATGAAGTTCTGCACAAGACTTTTGGCCAGCGGAGAAATTAAAATGGTCGTGCCCAACTGAGTCTGGTTCTCTCAAGGTTTTTTTTCTTCACTCCCATCAGGTGAAGTTTTTTTTCCCTCTCCGCTGTCGCCACTGCCTCGCATGGTTCAGGATTGGTAGAGCTGCGCATCGATGAATTTGCTCTTCAGTGTTTGAACTCTCAGTAATGATTAAATCACACTGAACTGAGCTAAACTGAACTGAACTGAACTTAAACACTAAAACCTGAACCACACTGTTCCAGTTACTATGACCATTTATGTGAAGCTGCTTTGACACAATCTACATTGTAAAAGCGCTATACAAATAAAGCTGAATTGAATTGAATTAACATATACAGTATAAAATTAAAAAATGATGGAATCCAGAGAAATCCAAATCTGTGTAGCAAACCAGCAAACTTCAGCTAAATGTGCTCGACATTTTGCAGGAGGTAAAAGCTTGATTTTAAATAATTTATAACATAGACATACATTCATTACTTAAAAAAAAAATTATAATCGAGGAGTACGAACTTCTAACAAAATATAATTGACTTCTAATGTAATATATATTGTTTATTTAGACTTACGTAATTCAATTATCATTTTGTATTGTTAAAGGTTTTTGAAAAAGTGCCCTATTTTTTAAAACAAAACCTGTAATAAAATGTGGCGGAATGAAATGTTTTGAGCATATATTTCTGACAACCCATCTGTGTTCATAGCCCGGAAAGCCTCATGGCATGCAACTCCAATGGCCGCAGCAATTTGCACTATAAGTACTTTATGTAGTTTACAGCTTATTACATCTTATACTGTATTGCTCTCTCTCGCTCCCTATTGCCTCCACGATTTCCACAATATTGTTTCTAATTTGCGGGGATCAGGGATCCACTACGGATATGTGGGAGACCATAAGATCGTCTGAGAGGGGTCTCTGAATGCAGACCTGCTGCAGTGCAATCTGAGCTGCATCCAATGCCTTTTATTGTACTCACTTAACCCCACCCCTTTACCTACCCCTCACAATAACGTCACTAGCTCCATTAAATGTGTCTGACATCATCAATGCTGCATCCAGATACTAATGGATCTTCCGGGAGAGGTGGGATGTCTGCATTGCACTAAAAACAGTGATGCTTTATTTAAATGTAGCTGCGTGAGCTCAAGACAACTTCAGAAAACTGAATCCCAGAAGTCTGCTGCTGCATCAAGAAATACCACTTCAGTCTTTGTTCCTCATGGTGAAAGCTGTACCTCAGTTGTGTGCTGAACTGATCTCAGATCATCAAATGTGTACTGGTCTCAGAAGAGTACATATATTTCAACTTGTTTCTGAGAACAACAGACACAAAGTTGTCAAAAGGGACCATCCAGACTTTTGTGAGTGACAGATGCTAAATAAATGTTAAGGTTTAGAAGCAGCAGAGCCAACAGCATGAGTTAATGACGTGTGCACTAGTACCGTTGACAAAGAGGCATATTTTAGGACAGTACAGCAATATTTACTGACATCAAGATGACATCTTTCATAGGAAGTCAACAGTTATTAAATCAAGTCTCATCCTGCAGATGCTACAATAGTGTGGTTTCGCAATTACAGAGTGAATTTACTTGACTGGCCTTCCTGAAGTCAAGATCTGTCTTGAAAAAGAGAAACAAATAACAATGATCACTGCTAGCACATCTGATTTCTTTCATTTGTCCTTTGTTAAAAAATTGCTTGTAAAACTTTAACAGTGAGTATCCTTAATTTTTAGAAGATAAACCTAATTTAAAGGAAAGATGATGTGACATCAAATGTCCCAACTATTTTGGAGAGTGTTGCAGCCATTGAAATAAAAATTAGTTTATTTTTCTAGAATAGAATTTATTTGCTCATTCAAACCATTGGAAATCTTTTATTTTTACATTTGTTAATTAAATAATGGTTAAAGAGAATCCACAAATCTTGTATTCTTGATTTTACTGCAAACATACCACTATTTGGGCAACTGGGTTTGTGTTACTGCATGTAAAACACATTTTATTTTTAGAATGCCAACATGTTCAAAATATCTTCTTAAACCACTAGGGAGTGAAGTAAAATTTGTATCTCTTTAATGCATTCATTTTCAAAGATGTTTCCTTGTATAAAACAGCTAACATGTGTAATTATATGTGCTCTACAGCTTGATCTCAGTTGTTTGACTTACTCTACATGCAGCAGTTTGTTACTTTGATGGGAATTTATTATGTTTTTGAATTCATTGGTTTTGAGAAGGGTGCCTGTCGTCTCATACTGTGAATGTTTACTCTCACTATCAGCATATTTCACTGGTGAACACTTCAATCTAATCCTTTTGCCATGCTAAAAAAAATATGAAAACCTCTTATATCTCAGCACACAGATCACCAATTTTATATCACAGATATACCCTCATTGAACATTAAGTAGATTACATGGTCAATCCTGAGTTCAAACCAAAGCACCCAAATCTCAAATCTGACTGGATGTCCAGGGAAACTCATGGGTCTCAAATATGGCAGACAAAAAGTTAATTTGATTTAATAGAGTAATTAATTTTGTATTTGGATTGGTAAGAGGTTCAATATCAAAACTGCTTGAAGCTTTAGTTTAATTGAAATGATTCTGAATAGCCTACTTATTAAATGCACAATAATATGAATTGGCTTTGGACTCCCTCTAGTGGTAACTCAGTACAGGTACAAGAAAAGACCTCATTCACTATTGTTTGTTGAGAGATGTTGCTGTCGTGGCCTGTACTTTCAGAAAATGGCTTTAAACGTCTTCTATAGAGGCTAGAACATTGCACACTGAAATAGATGTGGTTTATGAATGTTTTTGCTGTTTTGGCATATAAAAATAAATCATGTTTTTATTACAAGTAAAATATACATTAAAAAATATATAGAAATAAAATAACATTGTGATTGATTGATTACCATGGGTATAAACAACATATTCCATGGTTAATGTAGTAAAAACATGGTTAATCTGTTGCCTTGGATTTTCTACACACTAACTCTAGAATTTGTTGTAAAATTATACATCTTGTAATCAAATAAATACTACACTTTTACTATGATAAACCTTGACTAATTTTGGTAAGAGAATGCATTTTTGTTTTTTCGATTGAAGTTAATCTTA